GTGTGTGTGTGTGTGTGTGTGTGTGTGTGTGTGTGTGTGTCCCTCCTCCCTGCAGGCTACACCACCACTCCGCCCCTCGCTCAATAATTTCTCCAGTGGATTTTCATTAGGCTAGCCAGTGCCCAAGGCCAGCTGCCCTGCTTCTGGTTCTACAGTGTGCACACACTCAGGCGTACACGTGGACACACACAGAGAGAGAGAGAGCTTCTGTTTTTGCACTCTGCATATGTATTAGTTTTAAACTTGATTCTCTTTTAATATTTTCATTTGTAAAGTCACACTGTTTGTTTATAGCTGTTTTTCTTTTTTTGGCCAAGAACTAAAGAACCCCCCCACCACCACCACGACCACGATAATGACAGTAATTACAGTAGATGCACTGATGGTCCTTGCCTCAACCGATTATGAGAAGCATCTTTGCTTTGGTTTTTTGTTTTTCATTCTCAGCCATTGTCTTAGTTACTGAAGGCCTCTCCATCTCCATCTTCCTCAGTAATCATGGCTGTTTGTGGTAAAAAAAAAAAAAGAAAAGCATTCCTTCTATTGGACCACCCAAAAAGAGTCATCACAGATGATGGCACTCCTTTTTCAACCAGTGAGGTTAAAATGTGGTTTGTGTGAGGTTGAAATGTGGTTTGAATGAGCATTTCCTAAACAAGACGTGTCTGGAAACGAGAACCAAAACAGCGTATGTCTGTTGAATTCCTGAACTTCTCAAACTTACGTTTTGCCTTTGTTTTCCCTCCTTTGCAGGATTGTGTGTCGGTTAAACGATGCAACGGGTTACAGAGTGCAGGAGGCTCAGGTGGAAGTTTGTGTTCGGGACTGCAGTCACCCTGAGTTTAAAACGGTTTCAACCAAGGCTTTCACCTTCGTGGTAAGAAGAAGCAGCAATGGAAAAGGATTTCCAAATGATGTCCTACCAGACTTGACACCCATAGCAAGGGAATGAAGTCATGTTTGACCCTGTCTGTTTCCTTTGCTAGTCCCCGTATTTTACCCGTGTCCACCCTTCCGCTGGGCCTTTGTCTGGAGGAACAAGGATCACCATTGAAGGCAGTCATCTCAACGCAGGCAGCGCTGTATCTGTGAAGATCGGGCTCCACCCATGCCTGTTCGAGAGGTGAGTGATTTAAACTCCTATGTTCAAAACCCAGACAATTGATTAAATTCCTAGAAATAAGATATAATATATAGTGTAATTTTAACTCCTGAAACTTAAATTTGTATATGTCTGAAAGATTGTGTGTGATTGTTCTCTGCGGTGTATGTCACACCAGAGGCAATAATATACCTTGCATTCAAAATTGGTGACTACTAAGGTGTGCACAGTAAGAAGTATATCCATTTACTCCTAATGACATCACTGAGAAAATGACCTTCAAACCTTCCATTGTGCTGTTGGAGAAGTGTGTGGAATTTAAAGATCTCCTTATGACAGAGAACAGTTGCACACTGCAACTTTTCGTTATAGACGATAGCAAGTCAAGTATGGCTTCCATCTTTTGGTGTTTCTATCCAGCTGTTATCATTTCCATCATAAGAATGCACACTAATCAGCATTATTGTATCTTTAAAAAGGAAATCAACCTTTCTTTCCTGCCACTGTTGATTTCCCACAGCTCAGAAAACTGTAGTCAGTAAGTGGGTGACCTGCAGTACTGTAATTCACAGCAATTTTGAGAATGACTGTGTAGCTTTTCCACAGGAAGCTGATTCCATTGTTCCATTCTGAATGACTTAAGTGCACCACCCGCATTTTTGTTAGAGATATGACACTAATGTAAAAGGAATGCTTTGGTGGTAAATGTTATTGGTAATGCTGTTTTGAAGCCATTTATCAAAATACACGAGCACCACACTGCTCGCCCCGTTTTTATTTGTCAGAATATTCATTCTCTTTTATCTTCCATTTCTCTCACCCTGCATGAGATTGGGCAAGGAATCCAAGATGAGGAGACAAAGATCCAGTTAGATATGACTCTAAGTCTTCCAGCCAAGAACTCTATTGTTCCTTTGAGTCCCCTACTGGCAATCATACAGAAAGCTGAGCTCTTCAGTAAATCCACCCATATCTGGCATGTGGTACATTGCTTTGAAGGAATATATACACACACCTAACTATATATATACACACACCTAACTCTCTCTCTCTCTCCCTCTCTCTCTCTCTCTCTCTCTCTCTCTCT